AAAAAAATCAATACTCAGGTGAGGATTAACGACAACAAAAAAGAATATCAAGCCAGAGAAAAAAGAAATGGAGAGGCCTTGCATCTTAATGCTTATCATTAAAAGATAGGGAATTATAGGAAAAGCAGGCAGAAACAGTGCGATCCAAGTTACTCACAGGATCTACAGTTGGAAGATTGGAAAGTCTCCTCCTTTTCCTGCTTGGGCCTGGTGTAGATACAGAATGGTGCCCATCATCAAAATCCCCGCTGACACTGCTGGAAGGGGAGGTCGCTCTTCTTCTTTTGGAACCCATGGAATCCAACTTCTTCTGTAAGAAATAATTAGCTATGTTCTTATGTTTAAATTTAGACTCTGCCACCAAGCCCTCAGCTGGCCCCTGATATCAAGCTTCTGGTCACTCAGGAAGATTTTAACTGTGGCAAAGAAGTTTGTCTAAACCAGAGGGTTTTCCATGGAAGTCCTGTACCTTGCTTGTTGCTTTAGTCCCTTCATGTACCAGAATGCTACACTTTCAATTTGGATGGGACAAATTCAGCAAAAGTGTACTCATTCATATATCACCAATTTTGAACGACTCAAACCAATTCTGGCTCCCAAATTACTCTGGACTGGAATTTGAAAACCCACGTGCAGTGGTACAACAGTGTACTGCAGGTACTGATCCCTCGGGCCCCTGGGGCAGCCGGGCAGGCCTTGGGGACAGAGGTCCCAAGGCAGTCCTCTGCAGTCAGCAGCCTTATCTTTCTTCCCCAATGTGTCTTACAATTATGATCATTTCCCAAGTGGGCTATGAGATAAAAAAGAATAGGAAGTTGTGCCTGAGGCAAATAAGAAGTGCAAAAAATTAGGGGGACAGAGGACAATTAACCTTCTAGCATTTTAGATACACCCTAAAATTAACACACCGAGAATGACTTTTCTCCATTATTGAAGGACTCATAAGGCATACTCCTAGAAAACACTTAATGTGACTTGCCATACCTATGCCAAATTAGCAAAGCCTGCTTTGAAACTTTTCTGTCAATCCAGACTAACCTCCTTTTCAGTTACATGAGGTACTCTATCCCCATGAATTTTGAAACCGCAGCTTTAAGTTTCAGTAGATGATCTGGAAGAGCACCTCAGAGGTGAGTGTTTAGGTCTTGTTTGGCCTTTCAGAAAGGCATAAATGTGTCCTCAGTTTCAGGCAGGCTGCTAAGTAACTAACCTTAACACAACTTTACAAATATATACATTTGACTCTCTAACACAAGAAATGTAATCACTGAAATGATCTGTTACATCTAGAGAGGAAGGGTGTATACTGGGAAGGTCTTACAATGCTTACCGGTATACAATTTAACAACAGTATCAAATATGTTGTGATTTCAAAGGTCTTTGTCTAAAGCTTAAAAAACAAAACACAAAACACCTAATCCGTTTCACTCATCAACATTCCATTTCAGGAAACTAAGATACAACAGCTGGAAGAATGGGTTGCTAGTACTATGGAGAGAAAAATGGGGGCTCTCCAGGGAATGAAAGCAGGAACAAAACAAACCAATAAATAAACTATCCTGGTAAGCAACTAAGAAACAAGGAGTTTCCTTTCTATTCCTCCAACAGTCCTTGTATTTAAAAAGAGCCCACCATCAAGGTGTTTCTTCTGCAAGGCTTTGGTTTGTTACACACTGCATTAGTTTGCAATTGGCTACAACTGGCTAAAAGCTCTAAGCCAAATGTAGCCAAGTTTTGTTAATTTTTATTTGTTTTATAAAAGGCTGATAAACTGTCCTCAATCATTAAGATGAAGAAAGGAAGGACCAACTCTTTGCAAACAAATCTATGACAAGGACACAGTGAATTTGATAAACACGAGGAGGGAATCTTTATGAAAAGGATAACAAATTTTAAGAAAGGTGGAAGGGAAAAGGCAAGGAAGGACAGAAAAGGGAAAGGTTGTAGATGATCAGTAATTTACCAGCTTTACCAGAGCACAACCAGCGCCTCGAAAAGCCAGTCTCCTCATTATGTCTGAAGGCCAAGTGAAGCCAGTGGGAGAAGGCAGGGCTTTAAAAGTGCTGATTCAGTGTTAATATATTCAAAACTGAAAGAGAACAAGACAGAGAAAGGGGAAATAAAAAAGAAGAGTCAGAAGAAGTAAAAATGGGTACGAATAGATAGAAAACATTCAAGTAGGGCTGCTAAGGAAAGATAAGAGAACTGGAGAAAATAGGCATATCAGTTTTCTTGTGCCAATGAAACTAACTGCTATAAAGGCTCAGGCATTAAAAGTACCTGACATTTCTCCCATTTAAAACAAAAGGTTTTCATGTGCTTGAAGATGTCTCACTGAGGTTCCCCTTTACTCACACGGAATGATGGTCAATTCCAGTAATGAAGCATACCTACCCAAACGCCCCCTATGAGAGCAGAGCTCAACCAGAGAGCTAGATTGGAGAGTGAACACATGTGGAAGGCTCACCTGTGACACCAAGTGTTGGCAAGCTAGAATCAAGAATGGCTCCTGTGAGCGAAGAGTATGGAAAACTCCTCTTCCCCTCAACATTTCTTTCCAAAGTCCTATCACCATTGGGAAGACACCACATACAAGTTTAAAAAGGCTTAAAAAAAAAAGAGCCTTCAATCATTTTGGCAGGAGGTCAAAATTACTTTTACAAATAATCCACTGACAATTAAATGACAAAAAAATATAAATCACTGGGGTCTGTTTGTATATAGTTTAGACTATTCAATATCCAAAATTCCTTGAATCATTAATTTACTTTGATAGAAGAAAAGGATGCAATGTAACAATAATTTTTGAATATGTTCTTATCCAAAGGACACATTTTAAAATGTACTTTGGACGTCTGGCAAGGAAAGTAATGTGGCCAGGTGGGCGGGAGGAGCAACAGGACCTGAGCTCGGCAGACGAGAGACCCAGTTTTTCCACTTCTAAACATTTGTTTGTTGCTTGAGTCACAATCTCTCAGATCTGTTTCTTCATTTCTAAAATGAGAACAGTAAAGTGTACAGCTCTCCCTTGGATTGCTGTGACAGTGAAATATCACTTTGAAATTTCAAAGCACAACACAAATGTTGTTTCAACTCTAGAACTGCATGCTCCCTGGGCACAGAAACAATTTTATAGCCTTGGCTTATAGAATAATATCTGGTATAATTTGGGTGATCAATTTATGTTTTTAATAAACATATTAAAAGAGCACTTAAGTGAAACATTTTTTGAAGTTTGTGTAATTTAAACACCCTCTGAGCATTCCTTCAGCAATTATTTTTCTATGAAGAGGAAAGTAGATTCCAAAGCTGAATTGCAAGTTTTAAAATGGCATTAATTATGTTGACATGTTCTAAGGCCTGAAAACCAAACATTAATTATAGAAAAGAATAAAGTTGTAACTGGGAAAATATTTACTCAGTATAGCCAACTCCTATATTTTGAAGGTCAATAAGTTTTCAGTGCTCTCCTGTTGTAATATAAGCTTACAACAAGAATTGTGGAAAACATGATTTAAAGGGGGGAAAAATCACTTATAATCCTATTTCCCAGAGAAAAACCACCCTTAACACTGGCTTTCACAGCTCTCAGTACTTTTTTTTCCCCCCTCAAACAAAAGCTTTAGCAAACCACATGCATTATTTTGCAGTGTGTGTTGTAATTTAGGGAAGACTCTTCCAAGTCAACATTCCTCCACATGTTTGATGGCTTGGTAATTGCCTAACATCTAGATACCCCTTTATTTTCTAATATTGGGGGTTTGGATAGAATATTAATATTTGAAGTATTGTGGACACTCCCAAAGCCAAAGAATGTGGTCAAGACCCTTCCATTTCACCACACACGTTTGTTACTATTTTAATTTGAAACACTTCTTCAAAAAACACTTCCCAATCTTCATCCGAATCTAAAAATATGGGTAACCTGTTAACAAGTAATAAAGCAACAAATATACTGCGCTCTTATATTTGTATTGAGTTCAGTTTGCTTCC